AGATCATCGGCGAGTGATAGGTAGGTCGCATGAAGAACATTGTTGCAAAACTTATAGGGCGTGGGATACTCAACCGTGTTGATCTTACCGAATGAAATGACGAGTTTTAAATCAATGATTGCAAATAATAGTTGCAACATAATTATATGTATAATAACATCCTAGCCATTTTCAGGAGCTCATTATTTTTTTTTTAAACAATGACGAGATTTTTATGGATGCTTAAAAAAACCAACATTAAATTTTTTCCTTTTTGTTAAAATTTTTATTGTTAAAAAAATCATTAAATGTGTTTCAAAAGACAACGTCTCTGTATGAAAAGAACGGTTTTGCTGAAATATTAAAAAATTTAAACTAGATGTGAAAATAATTTTGTTAGACCATAAAAATAATTATGTAAAAAGCTTAAGTATAATGAGCAGTTTTTACATTAAGTATAATGCTATAAACAATTTCGATATTCAATTAGCTTGAGTGCATCTTATATTAATTATTTTAATGATTCAATCAAATTATTTTCAGATCTAGTTGAATTTTTTGTACTAAATAATCTTTCCTACATACGAGACGGATGTGATTCTGTAGACTCGGTGTAAAATTAATAAACGGAATTATGGAACTATAATTCGCACTATAACTGTTCCTCGTAATTTATCTCTATTTCGGAGGATTCAAAGAAGAAATTGGAATGGATGGAAGTGAAATCTCTTATTTTCAACAGTACGGTCAATCACCGAGAGACAGAACACGGATGATTTGTCGGTAGGAACTTAATAATCCGCAGTTCCATGCATGCCCACGAGGCGAATAGGCGTATATCTATATCCGCGCGAAGCTACGTCACCATCGGCTCTAGGGAAGGCGATAGGACCGAAGCAGGATGCAAACCATTAAACAACAGCTCGCGGGGTGATAGATGGGTCGCATGCCGATCGTTCTTGTTGGCAAGGCCCATTAAAGCGCGTGGGTCCGACTCGAGCTCGCATTTACACCTGAGCTTCGACCACCACCATCACCACCACCGCCGTCGCCGTCAGCACACGAGGTCCGACTCAGCGACCGAGAACGCCGACCAGACCAAGAAGGGCACGGTGGAGGGTGCCAGGGGAACGGGAAAGCGAGAGAACTCGGGGCCCCGGGATGTGGCCCGCAGTTAATTGCTAGCATTTAATGAGCGCTCTTTGACGCGCCGCGCGAACCGCCACGGTAAGAGTTGTAATGGCCGCAGCAGCGCTTTCCTGACGACTTCGCATATCGTGCGTGCACCGGCTCTGACCAGCAAGCAAAAATTGCCACTCGCGAGAGTATTATCGGCCACCAACAGTATTTCACGTATATTCTCGCCCCGACGAAAACCGATTCGAGCGATTGAGATATTAGCGCAACTAAACTGCAAAGACAATCTTAGCGAGATCGTTATATATTTCTTTCCAGTTTAGAAAGGAAATTCTTTAATAACTTGGATCGAGCGTAATTTCTTAACAATTTTTTTTGTTTTTTTTTGTCGTGAAACAAATTATTACGAGCAAACACGTTCGGAATTGTTGTTCAATTGTTAAAGTTAATTTTACTTTCTTCGGAAATAAAATAAGATTCAACTTGAACTACTTTTTTAATTTTTATATGTTAAACCTGACTTATGCAATTATTATAAATACATAATAAAAAATATATCAATTGGCAAAGAAATAAAAATTTATGTTCTTAATGTTAACTAAAAAAAACTAGAAAGCATACAGGAAAATAAAAAATAAAACATTCTAAAATTTTAAAGCAGGAAGAAAGTAGGGAAAAGAAATCAAAGAATAAAAGTTTTTTCTAAAGAAACTAGGAAAGAAAAATAATAGCAAAAGACGGAATGTCACTTCCTATATTTTCTTTTAAACGTCATTTGTAACATCTCCTTGGCAGGAAGCTACTTACTTCAACTGTGGTTCATCACAATAGTGTCGGCAAAGCTTTATAATCGTACCTTCATTTTTTATGTGAGAACTGTTAAACTGACAAAAACGTCGCCATTTTGATTTAGTGACCACAATAGTGGCCAATGAAAAGCGTTTGTTGGCAAACTGTGTATTCTTACTAAAAAGGAAAGATGACAGTCATCAAATTCTTTATTTGCCGCAGCTACTCTGCTCTCTTCTACCTGCGTGCGGTTTATTCATAGTTTTGTCCTAAAAAAAGCAGAATGTATATACAAAAGTCAAATACATTCAAACTGTTTAATTTTTAAATGATATATACGATTGCACATTCATAAGTATTCGAATTTTGTAAAATTAATAAATACATAGCTATATTTAATAAATTATAGTAACTTATTTTTTCCCCTTTATATTAAAAAATATAAATAAATTATATAATTTAA